TGAGAAGGTAGAGCTTTCCCCTAATTATTTGTACAATTACTCTCTAGTTTTAGAGAACAGAATGATTTTGGGTCATTCACAGACCACTTTGTTTTATTTCCAAGCCTTTTATTTGGGAAGAGTTGGCATTTTAAATTCATTGTATATTATGCATTTAAAGAAAAGTGATGGCTAGTGGTTTATTGGGGGGGGGATAATAGGAGAATGAAGTTCAGATAAAATTATAAAGGTATACAATCAATTCAGTGACAATAATTGAGAAAATTCAAATGTGTTTGGGTTACACGAAAGTTTGATGGCTTTCCAAAGTTCTTATTTATAATTAGTAACTTTAATGGAGACAGGGAGTCTATGGAAAGGATGTTTATGAGCCACACAGATGAAGATTGGGAGGGTCATGACTCATGGCCAGTCCAGGCAAAAAATTAGCAAAACCCCATTTCAACCAATATGTTGGGTATAGTGTTGACGCCTGTGATCCCAAATATGCCAGAGGCCATGTGTAGTCTGAAGCTGGTTCTGAGCAAAAACATGAGATACTACTTGTAAAATACCTAAAGCCAAAAAGAGCTGGCTCATATGGCAGAGCATCTGCCTCGTGGTAGGCTCTGAGCTCAAACTCCAGAACTGCCAAAAAAAAAAAAAAAGATATTTATACATAGTAACTACGGGTACACTGGATGAGTGAAAAGAAGCAGAAGAGCCTATTTTATTCGTCTGGCCCCAAAGATGAGCATGAGTCAAAGGAACTGCTTGTTTATATTATGTTTTAGAAGATGTAGGTATAATAAGTATCCCTGATAGTTGCCTGACAATGAAGCAAGATTAAGGAAGAACCCTTCTTCTCCCTTCTTCATGGGACCAAATTATGGGCCTGACCCCCTCTGAGTAGGCATTTAAGAGGGCATTAGGAAATAGTATTCTTGGAAGAGACAGAGGTGCTGCTCAGAGATTGAGGACATGAATGAGGAGCCAGAGCAAGTGAAAGAGAAACAAGGGGGACTGGTGTGTTGTCCGTAGCTAAAGGAGAAAATTTGTTTCTTTGGTGACTTCACACATCATAGAAGGCTTCAGCCCTGTGTAAATATGTGAGGACAAGACACAGTAAAATTCAGGTTATTACAATTCATGTAATCTGTACTTGTGAACTGGTAAGACATATGGAAAGTTGGATTATCATTGTATGGCAAGGGAGAGGAACTGATACAACATGTTGGTTCCCATGACTGAGTTTCCCTTCCTGGACTTATGTCACTTTGGGATTGGTTAGTTGTAAATAAACTGTTGCAGACACAGCAGTGGGAGGAATTTCTGAATTAAGTGGAGAAGAAAACAATGATGAGCAGACCTTTAATTATGGTTGACTCTTGGTAATTCCAGGAGGATTATCCAGTTGGTGTGTCACTTGGGTTCCTTGCCTTTAACATTTTGACATTTTATCTCTACAACAGGTAGAGAATAGGAAGGATGTGAGATTGAAAATATTTCAGCTCACTCTAATCAATTACCACTGTTATCAGAATGCAGAAAATGGGAAATCTATTTGTAAACTTATATTCCCCATATTAACAGCAAACTTATCCAACTGTTAAATAAAAAATTAGTTCCAGGAATTATCTGTTTCTTTATTTTTCTCAATTATTATGTTACTCATAATCCATTAGAGAGGTGAACAACAGCTGTTTGATTTTGGATGTGGTAGCAAGATCTCCTTTCTGGGAAGGAGGTAAAACAATTAAAACAGACAAAATTGATAAACTGAAAGGTGATAGTACTTTCTAATTACAATATCTTTTACAATAGAGGACCATAATTTTGGTAAACATTGGTTGTACTTTGTAAAAACACTCAGTGGGAAGAACCAGGAATGCAGTCCTTTCTGTGCACAGCAGGTCAGTGTGGGTACAACAAAGGGCTGAGCACTGTGATACTATAGCCATTACTGCAATGCACTACCTCCTCTATGTGGCATGTTCTGATGGCAGAGGTGTAAGCAGTTGATTGGTCCCAGTCTACCTTTCCCTCCACCTGGCCGCTTTTTAGGGGGCAAATCTCCCAACCTGTACTATAGCACGGAGGTTGTGGGTGGTACAAATGTGGCTTTTCCATTGCTAGTGAGAAGGGTGGAGGAGTGGCTGGCAGTATGACAAGAATGAACTAACTCTCCCAGTTTCAGCTGCTATCTGACGCTGCTTTAGTACAGACCAAATGAGATAACTAACCCAACAGACGCATCTCTGGAAAATTCCAAGCCAGAGCAAACTGTGAAGAAGAAGGAGCAAGAAAAGATAGAAAACAGTATGCAAGGAAGCCAGCCCAAAAAGTTAAGGGTCCAGATGAATATCATTGTGTTTACGTCAATTTTAGGTGATTTTATCAAGCAACTCTGCATGAAATAGGATGAAAAGAAATTGGATATAAGAGACCATTGATAGATTCCAATAATAAAATTGGGTCCTAAACATTGAGTCACAGCTATTTCGTTTAGTCTATTGTAATGTGTTAGATGATTGATATACCCTCTTAGAGAGGCATATATGTGAGCTAGGTTGACACATGCTGTTGTTTCTGAACTTGTTTGCAAGGTTACTTAAAAGCATTATTGCCATAAATCACAGAGAAGGGACTATTACCCCTCAAATGTGATTCACGTACAAACCGAATGAATCACATACTGATCATCTTAGTCAAATACTATTTTGAAACCTGGTGGAAAGCTAAATACTTGTAAACTTCTTTAGGGACAGTGTCATGCTCTGACTCACAGGGGAACCATCCCAGAAGCGAGGTTTAGGTATCAATCAGCAGATATTTGGGCTGGGTGTATACTCTTCCTAGGCATAGGCTTTAAGACCTAATTCTAACATTTTTTAGAACAAAATTTTATTTAGTAATGCCTGCTTTGGTTCAACTCAAGCTCTAATCTCAGACCTTCTTTGTCACCTTCCTAAGTGCATAGAGAAAACATTTAGGATGAAGAGTCCAGAGCAATGAGGAAAGATTTTGTTTGTGAGTGTAAGTCCCATCACTGCCTTGTGTATCAGGGATTCTGCTGTGGACACCTAGTTTATCTGTCTGTTCAAACATACTGCTGTAGTCTGTTGTAGGTGAGAGTTAAGTTCCCCACCAAATCTCAAGAAAGATGTCGACAGTCAGATGCAGAGGCCTGAACTCTCTTCAGGTCACTTCCTTGTAGGAATTTCTCTTCTGGTGGGGCAGCCTGTGTCACCGCCAGCAGATCTGCCTATGTTTAGGGTTATAGGAGGCAACACTGGGAGACTTCGTCTGCTGTAGGCCGCCATAACTGTCAGTCCTGGTCTCAGTTTGTATCCTATTCACTACTTGTTTATCCTTGGGCTCTGGATCCCAGTCCATTCTCCAATAAAACTTGACTAATGATATATGATGTGCCACAGCCCTATTTCTGAGCCATTTGATTTCTTTATGTTCCTGCTGACTTTTCAAAAATTATGAGATATAATTTGAATACATAAAGATGCACTCAATATATACATACAACCTAACAGACAGAATATTACCAGAATCCCTAATGTCTCCCTCATCATTCTTTCACTGAACAAACCTCTGTTCCACTAGAGGGAACTCAGGCAATAGTTTCCTTGACATGGTATGTCCACCATAAAAATTTCCTTAAATGTGCATTTGTGTTTGGCTTGATCTTTTCAGAAGGAAGCAAATTGTGTGTATTCTCTTGTGGCTGACATTTGTTTTTTAAACCTTGCTTCTATCACTAGCCATGTCTCCTGTTGTGGAGGTTTTAGACATCAGCCAGTGGATAAGTGCATATTTTGGGCATCCAGAATAACTTCTGGTGAGAGTTAGAAGACTGTGTTCTGGTGTGGGGCATGGTCTAGGGAATATTAGATAAGTAAAGCTCTTGTGAGAAACTCTGGAAACTATACCTGAAGGAGGAAGATGGGTTTCCATGAACATCCTTCCAGGATTGAGTGAGTCTTGGAATGCTAAAACCAGGACATTCCAAGGCAAACTGGAACAGGTTGATGACTCTCATCCTTTACACATCTTCCTCCATGCACCAGTCACCTCTTCTCTCTGCTGTTAACTCTCAGCTTTCACTTACAACTGTGCAAACCTCTTCCAATCTGCCCACAATTGAAGTCCCTATGTAGAAGCTATTGCACAATTTTTCTAAGGAGTACAGAACTGTCATGCTACAGGAATATTATTGGCAACACCCAGAGTTTGAAAAAGTAAAGTACTATATAAGAATGGTCAAAGTGACTGAGATTTTTAAGTGGTGTGGTAATAATATATGATACAAAAAGGGCAGAGTGGTGGGGAGAGTCAGCAGAAAGGGAGAATTAAAATACTGCTGTTGATAATACATGTAACAAAAATTGATCTGAATTCCTATTTTATTATTGAGAAAATGGAGGTACAGAGAAATTAAGTTACTTGTTTAAGGTCACAGAGCTGGTAGAGTTGCCAAGCTGTTATTTAACCCTAGGTCTAGTAATGTCTCTTTAATTTTATTTCCAGGTTATATATGACCTAAGTTGCAAGGAGTCCAGAAGAGAGCACCAAGCTTATGTAAAATAGCAGTCTCCGCTTGTCTACATCTGTCACTTCACAGGAACAACACTCAACTGCTTTTAAGGCTATCTCTTGTATCTTCCTCTAGATACACGCTAGTGTTACTGCTTTTTTTTGCTTTTCACTTTTGGACAATACCTATAGACCTTCTTTCATGGAAGGATGATGTATTTCTTGAATTCTCAGTTCTCCACTGCGCTCCCTATGAAATCATGTTAATCTCCTTAGAAAAACATATCATGATTTTGTTCAGTTCACTATGCAATATTTATTATCAAAACTAAGAAAATTTTATTCATAATAGATCTAGAAAGTGTACTATGGTATACATTTCACAATAAGATCTTTGTTATCTCTGGAATTAATGATGATCATGTTTTCTCATTTTTGTGCTGTTATTTTTCTATTTCCCTACAGTAATGCATTCCTCTTGTACTGGAGGTAGATGTCACTTCTTATAGGTTCAATGTACTCAAACATATATGTCTTTCTGAGAGGATATTTACTTTAGAGAGCTCCAAATGATCAAGATATTCCATTTTAACATCAAAGTATGCAATTAAAATGTTTACAGTGTGAGAGTAATGAAGGAACCATGTGTAAACTAAAGCCAGAAACACTAAGCAAAATATAACCCACACCTCCTGAAGGGCCAGCTCACTGCTCTCCCCCAAATGCAGTATTCCCCAATTCCCAAGGCAAACCCCATTGTGCTATTTATACACACACACATATATTTAGTGAAAACATAATTGATCTGAATTCTTATTTTATGGGTAAGAAAATGCCTACTCTGTTCTCCAGAACTTTGTTTCCTTCACATTTCTAGGATTGCATGATATCCTCTATAAGAGTGGATGTATAGATGCTAGAATATCAATCCTTGAAGAAGGGTATTGCTCTATTTCTTGTTATATACCAAAATTGGTGCGGGGAACTGAACAAACAGCAATAATGAAAATCAATGATTGAATTTCCACATGTAAAAAGTGCCAGTTGTGCCACAGTGTAGGGACATGTACATATACTACACAAAATATCATGTAAAACCAAATACCTAATTAGTACAATTTCATGCAAAAATTGGATTCATTAAAAATACCTATTTTGACTATTTTGAATTGGAGCTAAAACTCTCCAAATGTCTTTTAATTCACATAATGGAATTATTTTAAACTATCATGGTCATCACAAAAGGAAACAGGGAGTGTCTGAGTCAGAGGCTTTATATTCCAGAGTAATGCAGGGAACCCTTTCAGACTCACCCAACCAGATGCAACTTCCTCTATGAAGACAGTAAGGTAAATACTTCCAAAATGGTTGGACAGACAGAGGGAGAGAGAATGAGTGGATAGGAGTAAAGGTGGCTACTTCTTTGTATCTGAGATGTTAAACTAATCAAACTTCAAAGTTGTCTCACCCTATCACTTCTCTACTTTGTGTCATGCTTGTGGCTGACTTTAAGCGATATGATAGCATATATCACAGTGAAGGAAATCAGTGAGCAGTTGGAAACTGCATGTTCCATCTCTGAATAGATATACAGGGAACTGTGCACTAATCTGGATTCTGTATTTCCAGTGTTCTTATTTCTTATTTAAGGTTGGAATATTGAGAACAGAGTTAAACTCTCTTTAATCATAAAGTGAGATACTCATCTAACTTGAGATTTATCAAATTTTGAAACTTTTTAAAAGATATGGAAAGACTTGATAATATTTCTGTAGAGTAGTGACTATTTTATATCATGACTTATTGATAAGAAAAATCGAGCATGCTCAATAGTTATTCATTTCCTTCCAATATGTGACTTTTAATTCTGTAAATATAAAAGCATTTATTCAATAGTTTACTATGAACTATGATCAATTTTCCTTGTATAGTCAAAATTATCCTAAAGTTAGATAATAGTTTATCAAGCATTTAAGTCACATAATTTATCAATTACAAATAAAGTATAGGTCCATGAAATATTATTATAATTTCATGTTTATTGAATATCTTTTTTGCCTGTATTTTATTTATGAATTGTTTTTCTTGCTTTTTATTAGACTTTTAAAGCAAAACTTTCTGAAAATATATCAGTGTTTTTGCTTCCCTGATAAAAACAACATATTAACTATAGAAAAAAAAAGTAAAGGAAAGTTCTTAGATTGAAAAACCATAAGTAATCAAATAAGCTTTGATTGGCTATGGACTTTTGGGTCTGCAAGTCTGAAGTTTGTGATTTAAGAATTTTTGTTGGTATTCACTAGTTTGTATTAACTTGAAAATTATAAACTAATTATCTACTTGTATATTAAGCTAAAATATCTATGCAAGAAACATAAGAGTATGGTATTTTTGTAAAATGAAAAATTATTCTTTAGAGAATAATTTTGGCTTTAGAGCCAAGATTTTATTTTTTTATAATTTTAAAAGAATTTTCTTTCAGTGCTCTAGTCATACAATGGCCTACCAGGTAATAACATTGACATCTTCTGTAGCTTTAATATAATCTATTTTCCTTTTCATTTTTTCTTAATTATTTAACTTAATTACCAAGTCACTTGGTAATTAATGGTGGCTTTTTGAATTTAGTTTATTCCCATTGGTGTTTTTATTTTTAAGATTCTATTAAAGTAATTATTGGAGAAAGGAAAGTCACTGTTTTGGTTCCATGCTAAGTTGTACTCATTTGTCACCTGATAGAACTTTGGGGCATAAAACCATTAATTCAACCTTAAGTAAAGTTGTCTATTTGCTAGTGGGAATCAGATTTTATATCAGATGAGGAGCAAAGAATCTTGCTTTCAAGAGCCTACAGTGTACCTGCATAAAAAAAATCATAAAAACAATTATGTAAGGTGGAACATACATTTTGGAATTTATTTTCAGCATGCGTGAACCTGTCTGCATAAGAGTGCTTAAGGATATAGTATGTAGTGCTATCCATCATTCTAGAAGTTATGGCTTTAGAATTTATAATTGTCTGGGAATGTCTTGGCTCATTATTTTCAATAATGACATTTATTTAGTTTATCTAGCTTTATGGCAGAGATTTCTCTGCCGTAAAATTTATTTTAGCAAAAATGTTATGTACTCTAACTCTTGAATGAGAAAATTCCTGTGCTCTTTTCTTGTCTTCAATATGATGATGGTTTTGTAGAAAGTTACCAGGATAACTAAAATTTAGAAAATGAAGACTTGTAACTATTAACTTAGAAAGTAATTAAAAAAAACTGTTGAAAATTAGGAAAGTATTTTTTAACTTTAATGGGGTAAAATAGTAAAGCAAAAACTTGTAAAGCATCAAGAAGAATTGGCACTTGTCCAAAGAAAAATATACCATAAAGTATGTTTTTGCAATTTGTGATGGGATGCTACCAGGTAGCTTCCAGACTCAATCTGACTATGCAAGCAGGTCCCCTAACAGTCATTTAAAAATCATTTGGGTTTCATTTTAAAAGATCTAATTATATTATATCAGCATGTTAAAACAGACCCACAATCCTTTACTAAATGTAATTTTTACTATAAATGTTTGCAAGGTATTATTATGACTTTGCTGCTGAAGTTACTTTCTAAGAGTGAACCATTTCATTTACAAATGCCTGTGATTTTTCAGCAATCAACATAAAATTCTTTTGAAGGGAGAGGATTGTCCCCCTGAAAATGTATGATTTTCTATTCAGGATCACTCCGATAGTTCCTATAAAAAGATCTCACTTAATAAGTTGAAACTTGGAAGCTTAGAGAAATTAAAGTTTTGATCCAGGTCATACAATAATTATGAACAGGGTTGGGACTGGTTTTGAAGTTCCTAAGCATTTGTGACTCTTAGATCCTGTCACAACATCAGACGTAATACCATGGGATAGTCAAGGGGAATAATTCGAACACCCATGCAAGTTCATTTAGACTGAGGCAGCTACACGTATACTATTCAGATCACTTTGAGTGTTGGGGGAGCCTTCAAAGAAATGCTGAAGTGGATCCCTGAGGAATTTTGTGGTGGTGGCAGAACCCTGCATTTCAGAAACAACACTATCGAGAGTTCAAAGATAATTTTCATCCTTGATTTTAAATTCACTACTGCTGTATAGATATTCTAGCAAAAAATTGATCCATATATTGGAAAGTCTTGGGCATATTCATAATACATACGATGATAATCACATTTTCCATGAAAAAATCAGGAAACTGTATTACAAAGGACATTTAAAATACACTTTAAAAAGCATATTTACACTTATGGGATCAAGTATGCATACATAATATTTAAAATTAGGATGATCCTGAAAATAATTTGATTGATTGCTCTAAGAATGTGTGTGGAGGCCAGGATGGAGAGAATGGGTAAGAAAACAGGGTGTTAAGCCTCCAAATACTAACATTTTATTGAATTAAAGATGGTTTAGAAAACAAAGGCTACAGCAGCTTGAGTAGTCTGTATAAGGTTGTAATACTTTAAGTGGCACTTTTGCTGCATTTCAGTTTAGAAATCTGGGGTAATTTGAGAGATGTTAAGTCCATGAATGCAGGGCTTAAAAACAGAGGCCACTCAAACACCCCTGAGGATAGAAATGTCTCCTCCAGAAGAATCACAAATATGCCTTGGTATGAATAGGCAAGAATAAGTAGAATTGTTTCACTGAAAATATCAGTGTGAAAAAATGAGTGTGTCCTAATATTTTCTTTTGCCAGAAAAGATAGTTTTAGAGTCTTGATACTAAGGATATGAAGCAAAAGGAATTTTTCCTTTCTGCCCAAAGTTATTTGATGATTGCACTCAAAGAGGAAGAAATGAAGCTTTGAATTAAAAAACAAATGAATATTAATACTACAATATTCACAGAACATGTGTACTGAACTAATTTAATTTTCCATTGACCTTTAGGCTGCACTCCGTTTCACAATGGCCTCCCTTGCTGCAGCAAATGCAGAACTTGGCTTTGACCTGTTCAGAGAGATGGATAGCAATCATGGAAATGAAAATGTGTTCTTCTCCTCTCTGAGCATCTTGACTGCCCTGGCCCTGGTCCGTTTGGGTACTCGAGGTGACAGTGCACGCCAAATTGATGAGGTCAGTCATGGCTTTTGCAATCAATCCTCGGGATATTATTTTCCCCAAGAAAATTTTTCACTCTAATGGTCTCCATGCCAATGGAGGACATTGTATGGGTATAAGGTGGCATATCTTCATGCTTTTCCATGAGTCACTCACCATGCATGGATAAAGCACACATATTGCAATACACTTTTGTTTGTCTGGTTTTTTTTGTGCTGGAGTCACCCCAGCATGTGCCTAGTGTACCTAGCATGTGCTGTACCTGAGCTATACCTCCAGCCCCTGTTTTTGAGCTGGAAGGCAACGAGAATATTCTTAGAACTGCAACTCTGATTCTTTTCCTTGGTAAAAGTGTTTTTCACAGGTCAGCATCACCTGGAGAACTTGTTACAAATACAAATGTTCAGGTTCCATCCCAGGCTTCCTAAATTAGGTTCCATCCCAGGCCTCTGAATCAGAAACTATGGTTGTGGGGCCAGAAAACAGGGTATTTGTAAACCCTCCAGGTGTACACTAAGGTTTGAGAATCACTGCCTGAGTAGATAGGCATGATATAGGAGAGCTAGAAGGAGATACCAATGATGTCCTAGTTTTGTTTATGGTACTGAATATCGAACCCTCGCACTTGTTAGGCAAGAGCTCCACCACTGAGCTACATTCCCAGGCCAACATCCTAGTTTAAACAGTGGTTACCTGGACAGGAATGTCATAAGAGTACATACCAGATAATAGAAGCTTACCTGAATTGTTACCACCTTCTCCACTACCTTCAGAAAGGACTTATTAATGCCCCCTAGCACACAGCTGTACACTGTGCAATGGTCAAGGTTTCCATCCCTTTCTCTCAAAACATTGCCATGGAAATTCAGTAACTCGAGAGCAAGTGAGATATCAGGTCAACACTGCATGCAAAGGCTTTAACGTTATCCCTTCTTGTCCCAGGTTCTGCCATTATTTTAGTTCATCAATGGGCACCACAGGAAGCTGGTTTCTTCATAACCCATCACAGGGGATTGTTGCAAATCACTTGTGTAGTTAATTTAAATAGCTCAGCGAATCTCTTGGTAGGAGCAATTGCTGAGTCTAGTACTGCCATGTTTTAAAAACTGTACTCAAATTGTTACAGTTGGTGTAGTAGACCTCCCTTTAATTAAATGTCTTTTTTTAGACAATCTTTTCCAGTAACCCTAAAATACCTTTGGTTTCTGACATGAAATTCTGGGCTTGTCTTGAATATTCTTGGCTCATCTAAGGGATCAGACATTCTTAAGGAAGCTCTGGCTCATTTATTGGAGTACGGTCAAGAATCAGCATGCTTGAGGTTCAGTGGAGTTAAAAAATCTTGTAGGCTGTGTGCCATTTGGTGAAAGAACCAAAAAAGTATATATCTTTATAAGGTCATGTGTTTAGGCTCCTATTTTTCCATTTAGGTCTAATAGTACTACTCTTTCTTTACTAGTTCTAATATAAAAGTGTTAAAAAATGACTTCCTCCTTCCTGGAGCTACTTGCTCATCTCTTCTCTTTCACATAACATTTTCATTGAACGCCTGTGTGGTGTATTTATATTTATCCTATACCATGTGTTTGGATTACAATATTATTTAAAAGTTGTACAAATTTAAATTTCCTAAAATGCATTGACTTTGTCTGAAAATCTTTCAAATAATCATTGCAATGTATTTGTATTCTGCCACTCTGTAATAAGGAATAACAATTTTATGATTTGGCTTGAATGAATAGGAGAAAGCCTGGAGGGAAACAGATCTTCCTAGCTCCTCTCTTTTTTTTAACCCTTGATTCAATAATCCTGAAATGCTCACATTATATAGACCCACGGTTTTCCTCTTTCCATCATCTGAACTTGTTAGCTAGTTATTGAAAAGAAAAAGAAATCTTGATTTTCGTAACAAAAACAAAAGGGAATTTGAACATGTAGGACTCCTACTATTTCAGGTAAAAACAACAAAGAATCCAACACAATAAATAAGCCCTCAGAAATCTTATTTATCATCCGTTGAATACTTATTGTGTCATTATTCCTCTTTAGGCATGATAGTGTTATTGATCCCCCCTTTTTATTAATACATATCTTAGAAATGTTTAGACGAAACTGAAACGTATCCCTTCAATATTGTGCCATTCCCACTTTCTAAAAGCCAATTAGGAATATCAAAAAATCAACCACATTTATATCAAAATACAGTGAAATTATAAGGATCAAATAATGACACTAAATGTGTATATATCTTAAAGTTAAAATTTAGGGGGAATGTCTTCTGAATATTCAAATAATTTTATAGTATCGTCAAGGGCTAACTTAGAAAAGATATTTGCATGTTTGAATTCTAACACTGTGTATTTTGTGTTTCCCTTATGATCATATAATCCTAAATAACAATCTATCCATAGGTCGCTTTAGGGTTTTTTGTTTTTTTTTTAAGAGACCTCTACGAAGTTAAAAAAGTAGGAGTCTACTTTATGATAAATTTTGGCTGAAGAGGTGTTTCTTTCTCCTTGTTAGGCTTCACATTAATTACTAGGTTCTTTTTACAAGGTATTGAGTAAAATACCTCAGAGTTTAAAACTCTGAGGAGTAGTCATCAAATTATATCTTATAATTTACATTCATATAAGTTTGCAAAGCCATTAATAGTTTACTCAAGATAATATTATACAATAATCAAACACAGCTCCCTACATGTTATCAGCTTTCTGATAGTTAAACTTTTAAAGGTCGAAGAAATGAACCTCCTATTCTTGACCACCCACTTTAGGAAAGAAAGTTACAAAGAGCCTACTCAAGTTCAAGCTTGTTGAACATAAGCTGGCCATGTTTCTCTCCCTTCTCTTCTTAAATCGAGATGATTGACAGCAACCAATTCCATTTTCCACTTTTCATTTTCATTTTGTGAGCACTGAGAGACAAACTTCATTTAGTTTTGAACATTGATTTACAAAGCCACAAGAATGAAACAGTTACAATGACATAGCCAAAGTTACAAAGACTCAGGCTTTAATTTCCTGCCCTGCAGTAGGAAAAATAAATAATTCCATGGAGGGAGAATATCCTTGTTGAAACTTCCTGTCCTAATGACAAGTTACTAACTGCTTTGGAGTTTCAGGCACAATGAAATTTAATAGAGGTAGGACAGTCTAAGGAGCCAGAATGCCTTGGCATATTCTATTCCCGAATTCTTTCTTTGTATCAACTGGGGTGAGATAATAACCATATTTTTTTAAGATGCTGAAAATCTGTGTGTTTGGTCAAGACAAAATGAGAAAGGGGACTGATGTTCTCCCTGTTCCATGGCATGAAGTTCCATAGTACTAGGGGATAAATGTCTGTCACCTTGATGTCTACAGGGAATTGTGATTTTTGCGATTATTTCATTCCATGTCAGTCTTTTTATTCGAAGAGAGGAGGTAGAAATTGAGGTAGGTACTAATTCTCTGTAGCTTATTAAGACTGAGTGAGACAGAGCTTCTGTAAGTTTTCACCCCTCCTGAGCTGTTCCACTTAGTCAATAACATGCTACTGCTAACTAAGAATATGTCATGATGTCTAGGTAGTTAATCTTATTCCTGCCCCAACCCCCACTTAAAGACATTTTTCATCTTTTATTTGACAATTTTTAATGCTTATCAAGATTGAATCATTGAGTAATTATTACATTGCTCCTCCAAAATGAGCAAATAAAAATAAACACATTTTATTTTATAGCCATGGAATTAACTATTATAGTTTACGGTACTTATCTTAATGAACAATTTAAGTTTCAATCACGTCAATAGTACTGCTGTATTTAATTTCTTGTCTTATGTGCTAACAAGTACATGACCAGTAACAACAAAAATCTCAAATTCTTATTTTATTTCACCAAGACTTTTCTATCATAAGAAAATTAATTTAAGCATTAATTTTTAAAATAAAATTTTAACTGGGTACAGTGGCTCATGCCTGCAATCCTAGCTATCTCAAAGGCAGAGATCAGGAGGATAGAGTTTCTAGGCCAACACTGGGAAAAGTTAGTGAGACCCCCATCTCAACCAAATAAATAACTACATAAATAAATAAAAGTTAGGTGTGATAGCTTGTGCCTGCCATTGCAGCTAAAAAGGCAAGTGTAATTAGGAGGATCATGATTCAGGCTGGCTCAGGTATAAAACTGAGACCTTATTTTAAAAATAACTAAGCAAAAAGGGCTTACCCATGACTCCAGTGGGAGAGTGCCTGCCCAGCAAGGTCAAGGCCCTGAGTTAAAACCCAGTAGCACACCAAAATATTTTATTTAATTGACAAATAATAATTTTATATCTTTGTGGGGCACTATGTGATGTTTTAATCTATGCATATATTGTAGATAGATAAAATCAACCTAATTAACACATTCACTACTCTCCAACTTGTCTTTTTTGTTGTTGTTGTTCGGATCCTTTCCTGTTCCACATAACCAAATGTAGTTTAGGGGGTCCAGCCTACTTTATTATTTCCCATCTGTCCATTCTGCCCCCCTCTGACTAACTAAGATCTCTGACTGAGATGTCTCATACCATCAAGTGAGCAATACCTTCCAAAGGCAGCTTGGCCTTTGCCTCTCTAGTAATTGTTGGATGTGTCTAAGTTGATTCAGTTAAAAGGTCAACGACTTTTATTCTCTAAAGAAAAGGACAAGGAAGAATAGTAAAGATGAACTTTCTGGGTGGGAATGAGATTGTTGATCCTTCTTCCAGTCCCAGCCTATTTCTTTTTCTGGTACCTGGAAAAAGTTGCCTTGGTTACTGTGGCTCCAAGGAGCTGTTCCCAGGCTTCAGATTCAACCCTTTAAAAAATGTTCTTTTGTTTGAGATATCAGGATCTTACCATCATTGTAGGCCCTTCTCTTTTCTAGGGTGGCTTGAAGAATAGTTTCTGTCAATTAGTACTGCAACTAGCTCTTATAAATTTAAGGGAGGCTGTTGAATTACTTCTTTATGACATTCTTTTTGAAAAGAATGCCATTTTCAGTGCACAAAGTTTTTTTTTAATCCAATGACTTTTATATTTTTAGTATGGCATTTTTCTGCCTTTTCTTTTAGTAATGCTGGAAACTTTATAAATTTTCACTTCCAGAAAGGAATTCCATGGCTGCCACAAGGGTGCAAAACATGATGTTTTAAGACCTTTCCTAAGGGTGACACTTATCTCTTTTCCATTTGAAGCAAAAAATGTTTGTTATGTGGGAATTTTTGGACCATGAAGTCCAATTATAAGTATTTAAAATTTTCCTTGTTCACCAAATTGGAAAGGGACAGGAGGTGGGAATGAAAGATCAAAAATCATTAAGTCATTTTCAGTACAAAAGCTATTTTTACAAGAGAACAACTTCCCCTTTACTCAAGAGCCTATCAATATTTAAAATAATTTATTCATTGAGTCAACATGCCTGTATATTTTAGATTTTTTTTTTTACCAAAAGAGGCACGAGAGCCTTTTCTTTTAGAAATATTTGCCAGGATTTAGTTATGGTCATCAGGCCCCAAATTATGATACAGTTATCCATTTTCTAAGGTGTTGAATGAACAATTCAGAATTCCACACACTCCAAAAGTTCACATATCAAGCATCAGTTAAAAAACTGTTCAAATAAGTTCTTTTATTTGTATTTAAGATAACATCAAATACTATCTGTATCAGTATCTCAGCTCTTTACTTAAAAATATCTAATTTCTTGAACTATATAAATTATCTGGAGATGTTGGAGAGCTCCCTGCTCTTCCATTTTAAAAGGATCAGGGAGAACTTCTCAGTGGACATGGTGTGACCACAGCTTCTCTGCTTTGAAGGGACATGCTTTCCTCCTATGTCTTAATGATTGATAATGATAGCAGCCAATTATGTTCTTCCTTTCTGACTAGGGGAAAAGAGGGGTGGGTTATTCTATTGTCTAATTGAGATTTTCAAATAAGCAGGATTCCTATAATGTACTAAAAGGTTTAAGGTGAAAAGACATTTTACATTTTCTTCATACTTTCTTTACCATAGAAGTCATACACTTTCTGTGGACTGCTATGGCCTTCAGTCTTCAGTACCATACTCTCACAGTGATGGTTGTTATCAAGTCTACAGATTTAAAAACAAAGGAAGCCTCTGGCAAAGTCCATGTTCCTGTGGGCTGTGGAACCTGATTTGTCCAAGGGACTCTGGCACACAATCCTGGTTCTCATTCAAAATTAACGTGTAACCGTTGTACTTGAAACCAAATTCACTTGTGAAGAATTAAATGTGATCAAAAGCACATCTTAAAACAACAAGGATTTTTTTTAACTTAATAGCATAAAGAAGTCTTTAAACTAAGAAATAGTAAGCTTTCCAGTTTTTTTGTTGTATTGTAAATATAACAGAATTTTTTCTTTAAAATAAACCTATTTAATATTAAAGGCTTTAAATTTGAAGCATGTAGAATTTTATAAACATAATACTGAATTAAAGTCTGAAAAGTTCTCTTCTTCTGTCAGAAATCACCAAAATGTGACCTCAAGTCAAAATCCCACAATGATATAGGAGGCTGGTGGTGGTGAGATCAGGGACAGCAATGATGATGGTTATATTAAATGATTGTGTTTCATAATAATTACTATGTGCACATCTCCATGAGAAAATCCTCTATTGCACTAAACTTTTTCCATCCTAATTACAATTGTGGCTTATACAAAGAATATACCTGTTAAGTTTGGTCAATATTAAAACTGTTTAAATTTGTGTTATGCTTTGCTCGCATAAGACAACATATAGATATAAAGAATAAGACAAAAATGTTAATGCAAACTTGAGTTTCTGCTCTTAGAAATTTTTTTAGTGAAAACTAAGGCACGTATTTAACTAATTTTGAGTTTTGTATTATTAATAACTTGAAAATTAGGGAAAACTGTGTTTGTTGAGAATCTTATAAGATATGGGGTAGAAAGGGGAGAGAAGAAAGACTTTTGAGTGTTCAAATGGTGATAAAAGAGTTTTTTTAGGACCTATCCAATTAAGGTAGAACCTCATGCTAGTTTATAAGATGAAATTTTAAGAAATTTAGTGATGACAATTGCTAGGAAATGCTGATGGTCTCTATTATTCCATATTGCCTAAAAAATGAGGAAGAAGAACAAGAAGAAAAATCTGGTAGGAAAAAGTTTAAAAATGTTAAATGAATTCATGAATTGCTGACCTAACTTGTACTGGCTCATTGTACAAACGACTGCCAGTCATTTCTAAGAGAGGCTTAGTTTTCCACAAGTCTTAATAGTCCATAGGGACTTGGAGTTATGCTGTCATGGTAATGAGGATTGTGACATTTCCTGAGCTATACTGAAAGCTGCTGAGTTCGACTGTTCAAATACACTTTTTATTCAGTGGGAGGGATGTGCAATTGTGGTACTAATATGTGTATTTTATGTGTGTTAGTCACCTTTCTGTTGCTATGACAAAATATTTAAGAAAATCAACTTAAAAGGAGAAAAGACCTAGGCCAGGCATTGTGGTGCATATCTGTAATCTCAGCTGTGAAGTAGGCATATGTAGGAGGATTGTGGTCCGAAACCATCTCCAGGGAACATCAAGATGATATCTGAAAAATAACTAAATGCAGAAACAGCTGGAGGGGTGACTTAGGTGGTAAAGCACTACCTAGTGAGTGTGAGGCCCTGAAGTCAACATTCTAGTACTGAAAAAGAAAAAAAAAAAGACTCCTATCTTGGCTCACTGTTTCAGAGGTTTCAATCTGTGGCTGCTTAGCCCTGTTGCTTTGGGCCTGTGGTGAGGCAGAGTGCTCTGGTGGGGAATGCATAGTGGAGTAAAAGCTGTTGACTTCATGGTGGCTGGGAAGCAGAGACTAAAGAGAGAGATTTCACAACAAAGTCCCCACCCCTCCAGAAACCCATTAAGCTATGAATCCATAAATGAATGCATGCAATCATGAGGTCACAGCCCTCATAATTCAATCACTTTCCCAAAGCCCCACAACTGAACACTCCTACATGGGGACCAAGCCTTCAAAACACGAGAACTGGGGGAATATTTCAGCTCCAAACCAAAACAACATCCGTGTGTGGACTGACAACCAGACAGGCATGTCTCAGTGGAAGCAATGCCACTATAGCATTTATGTAAGTTAATACGTAAAAATCCTAGTGAACCTGAGAGAAGTCAGGATGTGGGAAAGGGAGAAGATATAATAAAAATTAAAACTAGAACATGTCTTTCTCCTTTACAGTTCACTGATGTTCATTTGGAATCATGGAGGAAAACCAGTTCTAGGATTCTAGTGAACTTAAAATGAGAAAGAAACATTTTTAAAACCTCTTGCTAATGTTCCCCTAGTCCTTCTGTTTCTGATGATGGCTTTCCTTGTGTTCTGTTTGCAGACACTTTACTTCAACGATCCCCAAAATCATGGAAACTCTTCTAATAACCAGGTAAATAGAGTACAAGACTAAACTGAGGAAAACTGCTGTCTCATTGATATATTTTAATAATCTTTACCCTTTTAAAGCAAAGAACTCTTCTTCAAATTTCCAGATTGTAGCTATTTCGAATAAAAGTTTTGATAATGTACTTATTAGTTATTAATTTACCAATAGTTTGCCTATGTTTTGGCTAAACTTTGGTCAGATGGCATGCAACTAAATGGTCTCCCTTTTTCCTTTGTTCTTTACAGTCAACTTACATTGGTAAAAATTATCAAGTTGTGTACAAGACAAATTCATTGTTTTCTATTGTTATTTCATTCTAAGTTTATTTATTTCAGTAAACTCTTTAATTTGATCATAGGCACTATTACAAGGAAGGGTAAAGACATCGGATATGTATGTGGTTGTTGGCTACTTTCATAGCACCATTATTTTTAAATTCTTTTATGTTATAATATACATGATTTGATTGAAATGTAAGTGAGATTATGCATATCCTTACAGGTCAAGAATAAATTTTTATGAATCTTTTTCTTAACAGCCAAGACTGCAATCTCAACTGAAGACAGTTCTCTCTGATATAAACACATCCCACAAGGATTATGGACTCAGAATTGCTACTGGTCTTTTTGCAGAAAAAGTGTTTGAAATTCGTAAGGTAGGTGAAACTGCGTATCTTAGAAGGTTATTTCCACTCTGGGCCTGAATCTTTAAAATATCATCTCTGTTTCCAAAGTTCAACTTTTCACCTGTGAATCTACATATTCAGGGTGGCCAGACTGATGGGCTCCAAGTGAGAAAAGAGCTTGTGCATTGCAGTGATGTAGGGTAGGGTATGGGGTATTTGGTACATTTACGAGTGTCCACGGCCCCAGAAGAAAATGTCTAGTAGTGTTTCCTACTATGATGACCAGAAGCTGCTCACTTGATCAGGACTATTAAGCACCGCTCTTCCCATGGTTCTCAGGGCGCGCTCCCTCTCCCTTTTACTTGCCCACTCCTCAGACAACTATCTATATAACTCTGCCTAGGTGACACTGCTGAGCTAATTTCCACCTGCATCTTTGCCAGCTGTCTGTGTTCCACCCAACCAACACTGTTCCTGTGTCTATCACTCATTCAAATTCTTTGCCCCTCCCCAGCACCACCCCCAAATCTTGTGATATCCTGTCAATTATGAAGCAGTGGGCCACTGTTTGTTTTCAATCATCTCAAAACAGCTGCACACCTGACCCTTATGCTACAATTTATAGCAGACTTTCATGTCCTTTTTTCCCTGATACTCATGGTATGCAAAAAGTCACACCCTAAGCACTTTTTGCTTTAGTTATTTTTTGAATGAGGTCTTAAATTTTTGCCTGGGATTGACCTTGGACCACGATCCTCTTATTTATATGTCTTGTATAGCTAATATTACAGGTATGTACCACCATGCTTGGCCCCACTTTGTTTTATTAATGATCTTTTCACTTACATTTGAATATGGATGAATCTATTAGAATTCATCATGGTAATAATAAATCATTTTTGCAAAAAGGATGATATGGTAGAAGACCCAGTTGCTATCTCTGATATCTTGCTCTCTCTTTTTTCCTGACCTATGCTGACTATGCTAAGTTCAAAGGCTTGAGCTTTATCTTATGTTCAACAATTAGCCTCAAAGAGTTTTTGGCAGGAAGAGGGCTAGAATGCCTTGGGGGACTGCTGGGGTGTTCATGAGAAGAAAGCAGTAGGCTGTGGAATGTACCAAAAATTGCTATTAGCTTCTTTCACTCCATTTAGATAAAGTTAATGAAGTGTGTTTGCTCTACACGTTCAACTTCAAATTCACCAGATCATCTTTCAGCCATGTTTCTATGCTTCCAGCCAGCTGTGTTTACAAATCTTTGAGGCAGGGTTGAGTCTTTGAATGAAGCAGTAGAAATAAAGACACAAGTTGAAAAATACATTTCTATATGCTTTTTTGCTGGCAACTTGTAAACACAAAACCATATTCTTTGTAGGACTACATTGAATATGCTGAAAAATTATACAATGCCAAAGTGGAAAGAGTTGACTTTACAAATGACATAGAAGATACCAGACATAAAATTAATAAATGGATTGAAAATGAGACACATGGTGAGTGTGATGCTGTTTTTCTACAAATTTGTCAGTTTTATGTGAATACTGAGAACTGTCAACTTTAAAACTGGGAGCTTTTGGACACCTGGAGTATAGTTCTTAATCCAAAGTAATGATCACTGTTATTTAAAATTGTTATTAAAATGTTATTAAATTGTTACTTGAGATGTGGTTTTGAATAATTTTGTATTTAAAGTGCTCTTCATTTATCAAAAAAACATTTGGCAAAGGTAGTACCTTCTGGAAGAACTACAACTCTTTTTTGATAAATATCTTTTAGAATTGCAAACTGAATTCTAATAGTGCTCTGATTCAGTATAAAACAAATAAGGAAGTCTATTCTCTTTTGTTAACCAACTGATTCCAACGCTAGTAGTTCTTTCTTTACCTGGGGGTTGGTCCTGATTTGTGCTCCAGACATTGAATGTGTGTTTATTCAGATTTACTTCACCTAAGAAATCTGCAACAATGTGATTTACTCTGAAATTAACACTTTAGCAGCATAGAATCATTCTGGAGGATAGGAGTATGATATCTTAATTTTCTTTTTCTTCATTCATTCATCATTGATCGCAGTAATAGTTTACTGTGGTCTTTAGCCATTATAAATTTCAAATATAACACTTAAAAATTAAAATAAAGAATATCATTGTTATTTTTGCAGTCACAGATTGGGATTCTATGTGGTATTTAATATTTAAGGGTATCAGATCACTAGTAACCTATTTCTATTTGGCCCAGTTATTTATTTCTCTTCTTTCCTTTCTCATACAAATCTATGTGTAATCATGATCATTTGATGAGTGTATGTACTCAATACCTACTTTGGGGAAAGAAAATTCTATTGCTGCCAATATTCTGAACAACCATCCAGACCTCACTGCCCCACTCCTCTACACAATACTATAGCCATACATTTGAAAGGCACATCTGATACGTCATGATCATTTTCCATTAACTTAAGGATAATTGAAAATTCTTAGCATTCAAGGGTGTTCATCGTCTGGGTCCTGCCTCCAAGCTTTCCAACCTTATTCTGTCTAACACACAGAAATGAGTTAGCATTTCCCCAAATACACTTTGCTTGTCCGGACTTCCACACCATTGAGTGAACAGTCCCTGCTTTCTGGGAGACCTCTCTGCACCCCCATGGCCTTCAGCTTAAGCACATAGTCCTATCCACAGTTAGGGGTCTCCACCCTGTGCCTCTATGGCACACCATATCAACACAACTTTGTGTTACTGGTGTGTCACAACTGCTTTCTTGGTGGTTAACTTCGTGTGGTACATGGGGAGCCCAATGATGGCATGGGTTATGACTTTCATTGCTGCTATTTAAGCATGCAGAATAGTGGATGGCATATAGCAAAATCTTACCAATGTGGAATGGCGGAAATTAGCCTTTTCAAATTGAGTGGAGTTAAATTACACATGGAGTGCCACAGAGCCACAGGTGGCCTAGTCAAAGCAGTAAAGGCAGTTTGGTGCCCATGAGCAGGGGCTCTGGAGACTGCCTTTCTGGGTAGGAATCCTACTGCCAATGCTCTATTATTGTCTGACTGTTTAATTTACTTAATCTCTCTGTCCCTTGATTTCCTCAATAGAAACAGGAACAGTAATACTGCCTACTTCATAGAGATTTGATGAGGATCAAACCAAATATTGCTCTTAAAGGATTTAGAAAGTGGCAGTCACATAAATTCCTCATAGGTTATTACTAACATCATCATTATTAGCATAATTATTATGTGGTAAGAAAAATCTCATGGCCATTAGTAGTCTTCGGAAACATTTTTTCAAGTTCACATTAAGCATGAACATTTCTTCCTCAACTTACTTTTCCAAGGTAAAATAAGGAAGATGCTGAGTGATGGCAGCATCAGCTCTTCTGCTGTCATGGTGCTGGTGAATGCTGTTTACTTCAAAGGCAAGTGGGAATCGGCCTTCACCAAGAGCGAAACCGTAAGCTGCCGTTTCAGATCTCCCAAGGTACGCAAATGTCCTGTATAATTTAAGGAGCTGGTTCCCGGTGGTTTCCCTGTGTAGGAGATTGTGGTATTTCCATAGACAAAGGGCGATTCACCATTTCTTTACCCATTTCTTCTGCATTACCACTACTGTGTGATCAGGTGCTTTATGAAGCAATGCCAATGCAGGTTATATGGCATAACCAAGGAGATCTGTTTCTAAAACTTATGCTTCTTAAGACATGTTCAAAATTGAAAGAAATATTGAAGTATGACTTTTTTCTACAAGAGAAAGAGGTTTACAAAAGAAAACATGACAAAAATGTAGCTGTTACTTTTTGTGATTTTAACTGTGGGGTCGACTGTTAGAATAATTTTCAAAAATGATTTTCCTGAGTCAAGGCAGGATGTGCTTCTTTTTCAAAAGGAAAAAAATTATATTTAGTAAAATTGTACCTTCACAAGTATATCTTTTCTTTAGTTATTTTTAAATCTTAAACATTACCAAGCTTCATGAAACATGTCCTCCCTTTCTTCCTTCCATGCTCCCTTCCTCCCTTTCTCTTCCTTCCTTTCTTTCACCTCTATAGTGTCACTAAACCTATAAATGGTATTCTTAAGTGCTACTTTCCCACTCAAGTTAATTTGAGGGGTACTACCAATTATCTTGTAGGAATTTTAAATTTTTCTAAGATTTCATTCTTAAATGGAGTAATTTTGATAGCCTAGTTTGTATTCTGCCTCTAATAAGAGAAAAAGTCAAGAGAGTCCATTTTTCATTTTTAATGTTATTTATTTCAGGACTTATTATGTGGACATTTTAAAACACTAAGTGCAAGGCAGTGTTCCAACTACTAGGTATATTTACTCACATAGTTCTCACAATCCTATGCAGTGGGGGACTATTGCCATCCGTATCATACACATGAGGAAATGGAAGCAAGAGAGCTGGGATGACTCACTCAAGGTCACATAGTTAAGATTTTTTAAAATCCAGGGTGTATATTCAAATTCTGTGCTTTTACTACTAAAATGTGCACCAATACAACCAGGTTAAGCACCATGTCAGAAAAAAATCCACAGGACCCAATGGCCAATACAGTATTTTTTATATACTTAGTTGATAAGTAAACGGGAGTAGAATTATAAACAGCTTTTGTGATTTGACTTTCAGTGTCATGGGAAAGCAGTGGCCATGATGCATCAAGAACGGAGGTTCAATTTGTCTACGATTCAGGATCCCCCCATGCAGGTTCTTCAGCTCAAATATCATGGTGGCATAAGCATGTACATTCTGCTGCCTGAGAGTGATGTGTCCCAAGTAAGTTACTCCTGTCCCTTCCACTGGGGGGATAAGAAGACTTTTAGGATACTCTTGATTGTTTTTTTATCCCTTGTCTTTAAGGTTGTTAGAATATTAGTGTTTACCCACATAGTCAATAAATAATATTCAATAAATACTTAAGGAGTACCTACTAATGTGTCAGATACTATTACAAATTACAGATTGATGTATAATAGTTTTCACAATTGTAGTTGAAATGCTTTAGAGTTTAAACCCTGTCAAATTCAGCTATGAAATTCAAAATGCATGAGTTTGGTTTTTCTTAATGCTTGGCCACAAAAACAATCTTTTATGTGTTATTAAAATGTTGATTGACTAAGTGTCTTCACATAGGTATAAAGTGATGGAATCCTAAAACCCTGAGAACTAAAATGTAGTCTCACTCCATGCTTCTGTATCTCTTGCATAGTGCTGTGATTAGGGATCATCCTGTAGCTGATGTCACAGGAAAAAGAGACAGCATAGGGCAAGGGACAGATGGCAGTGGCTGTGCAAACCAGGTGTCACCACTGTATCTTAGATCCTGGCAATTTGCCCTCTTCTTTTGCACCTCCTGAAATTCACTTTTTGAGTTTGTGACCTGCAATCTCAGATGCCTCAGTTGATCTCATCTCCCTTCTCTGTTTTATGAATAAAAAAAGAACAGTATACACCACTGACTGAACACTGACCACATGCCAGGCCGCGTGATCCACACTTCAGTTATGCAGTCAAGTGAGAAAGGAAAAAGAGGCTTATGGAAATTAGTTAATTCATTTGATAGACACATGAATATAAACATATGTATTTGTGAGTATGCATGTACATACATGTACATATTTCAGTGACAATAAAAAGTTTCAAATATACTTTAAAATATTTGTTATATTCTGATTCGGAAAATAAGGAATATTTAGTGTAGAGTAATTGGAAAGTAGAAAAATGTAAAGAAATTGATGCTCTTATTAGGCAAGGGGATTATTTCTACACATCTTTTTCCTGTGACTTAAAAACATAACAGTAAAACTTTGGAAATTCAGTTTTTACATAGAAAAAGATCACTGAGTTATTTTCATGACTTTCTTTCATTAGTTTTTCATTTTAATACCCTTTTTTGACAAGAACAGTGAAAAAAAATAACATAAAATTGGCATTGTTAAATTTAAAGGATGACTGTATAATATATTGGTGCTCATATTAAATCAATAATTCCCTATATAATTTTCTTAACAATTAGATTTTAGCACACATCTATTCTTTTAACTTAAATTAATCTGTACTAATAGAAAAAGTAGCCCAGATAAAACAAACAGCAGATAGATCAAGGATAGATCTGTTTTGTACTTATGTCTGGGTTTTCTATTATAGATTTATCTAATAATGTCTAAATAAGATTAGCATAAATTTGCATACTACATATCTTAAATAGATTCCTATGTAATAGATGGTGATGAGAAAGTTGATACAGCAGTAGGCTAAATGAGGAAAACAATCCAATTCAGAATAAAAAAGTTATTGCAGATTAGTCACAAGCTGGATAATCTTTACACAGAAAATGCAACAAAATTTGATTGTATAAATTTAGGTCCTTGGTAAAAGTGCAAGTTTAATATATATGAAAAGTTGTGTTAGAATTCCAATGAGTCTGAATGTGAGATGAAGTGCTCCTATATAAATTCTAAAACAGCATTCATGAAAAAAAACTTCCAATTTTGAATCTGGAATTATCTATGATTGATTTTCAGTGTTGAAGAGTTAGTGAATTCAATTTGTGAATCAGTTGGGGGCAGCAGTAGTGTTGGAGAGATGTGGTCTCCTAGCCGTGAACTAAGGTTGCTTGCTACGCTCCCAGGTTTATCTCTCCACATCCCCTTGTTTCAGTGTCTCATCTGTTGAGTAGATTTGTTGATTTGGATCCAAGTTGCCAGCATCACTGATTGTGCTAGGAGATGTTGATAACCTATGTGCCCAGGTCTGGAGGTCTGGGTCTTTTGCCTCAGGCCACCTGGATTACCATTGGTTTGCTCCTATAAACTGTGCAAACATTATTACTTTCTGTATCGTTATGGAGGGAAAATGGGTAGAAAACACCAATTTAACGAACTGTGGAGTTCCCTTTCCCTTTAAAGAACTTTGATTTCCGTGTTCTTTCCCCTGCACACTGTTCTGCTTTGATTACGTGTACTCACATAGGCACAGAGAACAGACATGCCCTGAGTACAAACAATTATTCACTGTTGTGGAAGAGCAAATTCAGCATGTGACTTGTTGGAAAAATACTTGACTTATTCATTTAAATCATTTTCTCTTTCCAGACCTCCCCAGGTCTCAGTCCTGTACTTAAATACATAAATCCAGGAGGGGTCATTATGGAAAACCACGTGTCTTTGTGATTGTTGTTTCATCTTTTTTTTTTTTTAGCCATATGATTCTAAATTACATTTTAATTACTCTTACAGATTGAAAAAGAATTGAGCTTTCGGAATCTAATGAACTGGACCCATCCAAGAAAAATGACCTTTCAGTATGTAGATGTGTTTCTTCCTCAGTTCAAGATAGAGAAGAATTACGAAATGAAACGCTACCTGCAAGCCCTAGGGCTGAAAGATATCTTTGACGAGTCTAGAGCTGACCTCTCTGGAATAGCTTCAGGAGGTCGTCTCTATGTATCAAAATTAATGCACAAGTCGTACATAGAGGTCACTGAGGAGGGCACTGAAGCGACAGCTGCCACAGAAAATAACATCGTAGAAAAGCAGCTCCCTGAATCTACAGTGTTTAAAGCTGATCACCCATTCCTATTTGTCATCAGGAAGAATGACATCATCTTATTTACCGGCAAAGTCTCTTGCCCTTGAAAATCCAATTGGTTTCTGTTACAGTAGTCCCTGCTACATCAATGAAACACCACAAGTGAATAGATTTGTTCACTACTAGCATGTAGTGTTTCCTTTGAGTTTATTTTTTCCTAACATTGGTCAGCAGATGATATTGGTGACTTAACCCTTCTCACGCACTTGGTTGATGGTCTTGATCCCTGCTCTTAGAATTTCTACTTCTTTTTTGTTTCACCTGTTTCTAATTTCTTTTGGCTTTCTACCTACACTCATTGCTACTTTTCTATCTCATGGCCTATCTGGGAGTTATGTAACTTGCTCTATCAGCAATGAGAATGTAGAAACAGTCCCAGGAATCATATCTGAAACCTTGCAGTTATCATGGGTATTCTAGTTTCATCATAAATTATCTAGGAAGTAAGCCCAGCTGCTTCTTAGAAATATGTATGAAATATAACACACTTGCTTCCTTGCTATCCTAAGATGATATGAGTTCACATTTGATTCTTAAAACAGTTTATAACCTAGATGCTAAAATATATGGAACTGGAATTGGGGACCAACCAAAATGTTTCATTGGTAACTTTAAGTTGACATCCTTTGAACTTTCCTTGATAAGACTTCATGTGCACAGAGTTTTTCAAATATTAAATACCTTTCAACTCTTGGCAGTTGTTATCTACAGCATATTTCATATGCTTTTGAGTTTACAAGTTTTCCTTATTTATCATAATAAAGAAATAGATCATATCTGTATAGTGTGACCATTCTCCTCTGACCAATTTTGAAACTACCAGCACTTTATTTTCTAGTCCAAGTAAACAAAGAAGCGAAAGAATGCTTTTGTAATGTGTCTGGTTTGGTTCAAAGTGGCTAACTTATTATACACAAAGATACTTTTACAGATATATAAGCTAATGAGCTAATTGTAAGTTGTAGGAGTTAAATTCATAAGGGAAATTATTCACAGATATGAATACTTATGATAAATGATAAGTAAATTTTATAAATATATTAAAAATCAATTGAGGATCAGCAGAACATGCTGAACTTTTGAGTTTATAAATAACAACAGCCTATTGAGTTGTATTTTCATTGTAAAAGGCTTTTATATGAATAAGAACTGTATAAATCAGGAGTAGTCTATGACACAGTGCTGTGGTGCTCAGTATCAGACCTGGCAAATGCTTGATTTTTCAACAAATATTGTAGAATTCATGAATATGATATGAAGGTGTAAATGTGATATGATTTGAAAGGTGTGTAACATGTCCTGTCCAAAACAATTCAATCATAGCAGGGGTGTGACTCAAATGGAAGAGTGTCTGACTAGCAAGCACAAGGCCCTGAGATCAAACCCAAGTACTGTCCAAAAAAGAAACAAACTTTACAAAATAATTCAATCACTAACCTGAAATACCTGGAATGACTTATTCATTTGGGGTCCTTTGTAGAGAATGGATTTAATGGGTATGCATGGGGAGGACTTGATCTTTCCTACTACATTTCCTATCTATTAACATTCCAAAATAGTATACCCCTCAGGGAAGGGAAACAGGAGCACACATTCTGACAATGGCTATGTAGTTCATACATATGGGCACTCTTCCTGCTGAAAGATTTCTCTGAGCAGCCATCATGGGATTCAGTCACTGAGGTTTGAAGTAGGCATCAGAGAGAGTGAAAGTGATATCTGTAAAGAAATGGTATATATCCTAGACAGTTCAGGCTGCCATAACAAAAATAACTTAGACTAGGTAATTTGTAAGCAATAGAAATGTATTGCTCACTGTTCTGGAGGCTTAGACTAGGTAATTTGTAAGCAATAGAAATGTATTGCTCACTGTTCTGGAGGCTGGGAAGTCCAAAATCAAGATACCAGCAGATTCAGCGCCTGGTGAGAGGTCCTTTCCTCATCTGGCACTTTTGCTGTGTTCTCAAATGACAGAAGCAGTGGAAGGGGCAAGGCAGTTGCCTTCAACCTCTTTTATAAGAGCACTAGTCCCATTTGTAAGGTGGAGCTCTTATGACCTAATCACCTTCTAAAGGCCCCACTTGTGAATGCTATTACATTCAAGATTAGGTTTCAATATATGAATTTTGGGGGAACACCAATATTAGACCACAGAATTGCAAAAAAACTAAATAAAACGTTCTCTACAATTTTGATTGGTTGATCCTGTCCGTATGTCCATCTCATGCATCAGGGTTTCATCACATTCAGAGAAGGGCTACATTGCACAATTGTCCTCAAACCTTTCACAAGCCTGTGACAGCTTCTGAAACTAGCACTCATGGAATCTTGATATTTGCTGCTTAATGTTATCAATAAAATTTAGTTCAGTAATAGTAAAGGTAGTAGCTATTTAGTTTTCTTTTTCCACTGGATTTTATGCCTCTTGTAATAGCATCCATGTCCAATTTGCTTTTGTGTCACCACATCTCTGGAACAGCATGACATATGGTAGACACTCAAAATATCTTCAGAATGAATTTAATTGTTAGCCTCAAATACATGATGTGGAAAGGAAGTGAGACCTCACAAACCACTTTAGTACAAAATCAAGTAGCTAATCCTATAATGGAGTTCTTTTTTTTTATACACAAATGTGACTTTTCATTTTTTAGGGTTGCATTTCTTTAATTTGCTTATTATCTGTGTGTATTTCTCTTTCTCAAAGTTTGCTTTATATAAGATCCCACCTAGTCACATGGCTTCAATAATTGTTTATGGCACCAACCTACATGTTTAAGTAACTTCATCCAAATTCACAACTGCCTCTAGAAGTCCACCTGAATGTTCTGCAATGGAAATAATCATTTGTAATGTGAAAAATATCACCTGTGGTGCCCACTCTTAGTTAAAATAAATGTTACCTAAAAACTCAAACACAAAACATCAATCTTATCTTCATAGCTTCCTGATCATACTACAAGTGTTAGTTAATTGGCATTTCTACCAAAATGTCTTTCAGACACCCCCTCCTCCTATAGGAGCAGAAAAAATGCATATAATTGATCTTTCGATGTGGTAAGAAATACTGTCACCATTATCTTCACCATTATCTTCACCACAGTCTTGTGAGGTGGAAATTATCATGACTATTACTGTCATTCACATTTGAAAGAAAAATGAGGATCAAAGAGGTTGACAACTGCCCCATCATGTGTGCTCTTTCTGTGGGAAACTGCTGCTAGAACTTCATATCGTCTGAATTATCCCTTCCCTATGTTCAGAGTCCTCTCTCTCAGGTCTCCACACCTCAAGGATTGATGGCTCAATCCTTCCTTAACGTTGCTACCAACTGATCGAGGATCTCTGATGACCTCAGGCTTTCCTGGAACACCACACCTCTTATAAATTTGAGCAATTTCATAATTACATGATTAGGTGTTCTTATGTTTGGGTCATATATGTGTTTAGGTGATTTCATTTGACTAGATATTATTTATAATAATAAACTTCCTGAAAGTTTATAAAATAATAATAATAATAACTCTCCTAATAATAAGTATTAGCTCTCTGAAAGAAGGGATTGTTATTTTATGCTCCATTTTAATTTCTCTCCAGCATCTTCTTGATTGATAAATTCTATTCTTCAACAGAAAACAGCAATGATGCATATGTCTTTAATCAACTGGATATGTTTTGACACTAATGCTTCATATCTATTCCTACAAATGAACCTAGAACCTATGAAGCTCCATGACAAGATAAGTCTAGATTTCCTTTTCGATACCAGAGTATCTTCAAGAACAGAAAGCCAGACATCTTACCCGAAAATCACACGACAGTCTGGCTTACAGAATTTCATTATGCCCTTAGAGTCCTTTAACATTCCTTTCCTCACCTGTTCTTGCCTGTTGTGTTGTGAGCCACACAAAAACACTGTTCTACTTGAAATATGAAAATACCTTAGTGAAACTAAAGCGGCTAATATTTTATAGATAGTTTGAGTTTTACAGCTGATGTGTAAAAGCAAAATAAGATATATATATATACACACACACACAATGGAGTTTTATTCAGCCATAAAAAATGAAATTATGTCATTTACAGGAAAATGGATGGAACTGGAGAATATCAGGTGTAGCAAAGTAAGCCAGACTCAGAGAGACAAATATTGCATCTAATGTACTGTGATCAAATTCAGTCCCTTTATTACTCATTCTTACCCATTCTTACAATTTTTGATGGACTTTAGTATTCTATTTTCATACATGCATGTAAAGTACTTCAGTCATAGCCACTCTCCACCATCCTCTCCTTTGGCCCTCCTCCTCTCATTGGTTTCCCTCCAACGGTCCCCCTTTTATATTTAAATCATGGTTAGGTCTATATTCTGCATAAAAGAGAAACACAACATTTCACAATGAAACCCCTTCATACAATTAATGTAGGAAAATTGAAAAAGAAAAAAGGAAGATATAAATACCATGTTCACTCTCATATGCAGAATAGATTTTTAAAAGACATAAAGGTAGATAGGCGATGATTTGAGGAGAAGAAAGGAACTAGCTAGCAGGGCGAGAGGTGACAAGAAAGGGTAATGTAATGGGGGTTGAATATGATAAAAGCATATTGTATACAAGTCTGAAAACATCAAAATGAAACTCATTTAAAATAGTACAGAAAAGAAAAACAATCCTATCTTAACACCATTAGTACATTGGGAAGAAAAGAAACAGAGTCAGAATGGAAAGGGAACTGAGGAGGCAGCAAAAATTCCTTTTAGCTATTTTAAAATCTATTTTCAGAAATGAATTTTTTATAGCTGTGACTCTTCAGACAAGACTTATCAGTGTTAAATATGTGTCTTATTCTTAGGCTAGAATTTCCAAGGCTCAGTAGTGTGATTAGCGTTAAGAACGAGGCCTGGGGGCATGAAGGTGAAGCAGGCATTTCTAAACCAGTCTTGAGGGTTGGGAAGACTTCCTGGGAGAAAAAATGCTTTCGTTCAGATCTGAAGCAATAAGAGGAATAGGAAAGGAAGGGAAGAGAGGTCCAATAGGGGCAGCAGCAGGTTCTAAGACCCAGTAGTGAGTAACCACAGGCGCCTCTGACTGCTTCAAGTGCAGGCTGTGGAGCACAGAAGACAGTGAAAGGTGAGTTGGGGAGGAGGCAGCAGGCACAAGAAGATTCTGTCCATCGTGAGGGGT